AATGAAGCGGAATTTCCCAATATTAGATAGCTAGCTAGCAAGCTACCAAGAGCTAGCAAGCTCAACCAGACAGCAAACTGACATTGAATCAACGTGGAAACGACGTCTCTCATGACATTGAAACAACGTTGATTTTGCTCATCGAATTAACGTTGAACCAACGTCAGACGCGGCATTCTTCAAAGCTAAATGAAAATCGAAAATTGGTTTGCTTTCATAACGTTGAAACAACGCGTTGATTTCAAGTTGATTTTCCGTTAGTTTTGAAAGAATGACGCGTCTGACGTTGGTTCAATGTTAATTCGATGAGCAAAACAATGTCAGATCAACGTTGTTTCGATGTCATGTTTCCACGTTGATTCAATGTCAGTTTGCTATCTGGGCAGTAATCAACATGGCGAATTCAAACTACTACACTAGGAATGTGGGCAAGTCAGTGTACACTTAAAATATGTAAAATAACTGTACACTTACTCACATATGGTCCTTGTATCATATCAAGTAAAAAAAGTGTCATCATACAACAATTTAAGACTAAAAGAAGCTGAGACATAACCTTTTCTCTTTTCGGCGGGGGCCAATTTGGATTTTATGGATAACTGCCACTAGGGGGGTGACCCCAACTTGTATCCATGGTTTTTTAAAAACCTTAGGCCCATAACTAACATCCTGCCAAAAATCAAAAACTTTTCCAGAAGTGCCCAATCTTCATGATTTTTCACGTATTCCTTCCCAGCTAGCAAGTGCTGGAAAGTCCCGCCAAACAGCTCTGACAGTGCTGAAACTGCTGCCAACCCAGCGAATGGAGAAAATCTGCCCAATCTTCAACAGTGAGATGTTAACATGAGTGGCAGCATCATAGAGCAGTCTGGCATTTTTTGGAGATTGGTGGTAAAAGGTATACAACTTTGAAATAAAGATTTCAAAGTGGTTACATCCAGTTACAGACTTGCATGCATCATGCACTGCCAACTTGTGTGCAAAACAATGAATGCTCTTCAATGAAGGGAAGTCTTTTCTCAACTTTGCAATCAGTCCACTTTCTCTTCCTGTCATGACTGATGCTCCATCTGTGGCGATGCTGATCAGGTGTGATTTTAAATATTCATCTTCCAAACCTGCTGTCAAAAGGGTTTTCTTAAGAGCTTGATACAATGCTTCTGCTGTTGTTCCCTTATCTAGCTCTACAAGATCAAGGAAAATGTTTTCAATGTCATCTTTGCCTGTCACATCTGCTCTCAAGTAAATTATTAAATAGCTTTTGCCAAAGTTACTGCTTTCATCAACTGTCAAACTCACAAAAGAATCATTGGACTTCAATGCGGATATCATTGACTTCTTCATTTTAGTGGCAATGTGTTCAATCATAGCGATACACGTATGATCCGATCGGTGTGAAGGGCCCATTTTTCCTCCACTGACCTCTTGCAGCATTATCAGTTTGCTCATTTTACTGAATGGTAATCTCTCTTTTGCCACAAAGTAGGCTGTTCTTATACTGTTGGCTGTTTCTCTGATAAGCTCATCGTTAACCTTCTCTGTTAGTTTGGGGAGGACTTTCTCTTTCTGGGCTTCAATTTCTAGAGCCCTCTGATGAGCCTGACTGTCCCGGTGTTTGTATATTTTTTTTCTCATGGCACGTACATTCATTGCTTGGACCCTCCCTAAAGCCCACTCTTCTGCCACTTGAACACCTTTTTTGTTTGTACACATTCGTTTAACATTTCTACATGCAGTACATCCAATTTTGTTTCCATTGATGTACAGCCATGGGGAGTATTGTTTCCTCCATATTTCTAACTGATTTCTCCAGTTATCAACTTCCTTGCTCTGAGTTTTTGTGGTGCTGAGCTGTTCTGAGCTGTTGGTGGGAGTTAGCTGTTCTGAGCTGTTGCTGACCTGCTCTTTGCATTTGTTGATCTGTGCTGAGCTGCTGTTGGTGGTACAGACCCATATAAAGCTGTTATCACTGCATTTGTCCTCTTCTGAGATCTTGTCGCCGCTAACCTGTGCTGAGCTCCTGCCACTGCCCTCTGCTAAACTGGAATAGACTGTGCTTGGCTTGGAGATCCTCTTTACCTGCACACTAGACAATGCCATGTTTTGGTTTCAATATTTTTTAAAATAAATACACATAATGAAATAAAATATACACTACCATTCAGAAGTTGAGATCGATACAATTTTTTAAATGTTTTTAAAAGTCTCTTCTGTTCAAAGCTGCATTGATTTGATAAAAAACAGTAATATTGTGAAATATTGTTTTCTATGTGAATATATAGTGAAATGCGTGATCAACGCTGAATTTCCAGCATCATTACTCCAGTCTTCAGTGTCACTTGATTTGTCAGAAATCACTCTAATGAACAAACATTTATGTATTAAACATTTAGCCTATTTTATTTTTTAGGATTTTTTGATGATTAGAAAGTTCAAAAGAACAGTTTCTGAAATAGAAACTTTTGTTAGATTATAAATGTCTTTACTGTCACTTTTGATCAATTTAATTCAACCATACTGAATAAAAGTATTAATTTTAACATTTTAAATACATTCTTACTGACCACAAGCTTTTAAATGGTAGCTTATAATGCTACAAAAGTTTATATTTCAGATCATGTGATGAAGACTGGAGAAACAATGGTGAAAATTCAGCTTTGATCTGATAAATAAATTATATTTTATTGTATTATTTTAAATTGTAATTTTATTTCATGAATTTTTTTTTCCAACTGTTTCAGCACATGCGATTTTTACATAGTTACGTCCAGTAGGTGGCGGAAAAGCACTGTTAATGAGTGAGTAAGTCAGGCACTATTCAACGACCATTTCAGTGAAAAAGGCTGCTTTATTCAGAAACAAACAATGCCATGGCAATCAATGTCAATTATTGCTATTTCAAGAGTGAATTCCGCATAAATGCGTGTGTAATTCCCAAAACTTTGTGTTTACGTGGCCATTGATCCTGGCAGCATAAAAAAAAACATTTTTTATACAAATTCTGAATGGAAATTAGAAAGCACACAACGATCGCTCCCTTTACTGAAAAACTGTTCTCTATCTCCGTCGAGATCTCTAGCACTCCCGTCCCACCCAGCAAAAACTCGTTGAAAAGACGTTGAAAAGACGACATTGCTAGACGTCTAAACTACGTTAAAATTTGGTTGAAAAGTGAAAGGTGAAAAGCCGTCTTTTTCAGGTCGTTGAAAAGACGTCTTTTTCGGGTCGTTGAAAAGACGTCTTTTTCTGGTAGTTGTAGTCTATAAAAGGACGTCCCATTCACGTTTAAATTAGGTTGTAAAGTGAAAGTTGAAAAGACGTCTTTTTTTAGGCATAATTTTCATGGATTCATGATTATATTTAATATTCCTAATTACTGTCAAAATAAGACAATTCACAAAAGTTTATCAAAACATTTATTGACACATAAAATACATCTTTCAAGTAAAAACTTCCCTGATCACACATCAAGCCCACATTTGATCAAATATAGCCTAAACACTGCAATATTGTGAAATATTACCACAATAAAAATAACTTCTCTATAAATTTATAAATAAATATACATATAAATATATAATAAAGTGTCATTTATTCCTGTGATGGCCAAGCTGAATTTTCAGCATCATTACTTCAGTCTTCAGTGCCACAAGATCATTCAGAAATCATTCTAATATGGTGATTTGATTCTCAAGAAACATTTATGATTATTATCAGTAGTACTGCTTCATGTTTTTTTTTTGGAAAATGATTCAGCTTTCAGTATTCTTTGAAAATAACTTTCAAAAGAGCAGCATTTATTTGAAACAATTTTTCAAAAACAATTTAAAAGACTTTAACTGTGACTTGATCAAATGAATCCATCTTTTCTGTATAAACATCATTTTATCATTTATTGATAAACATCAAAACAATAAATCTTTAAAACATTGAAAATGTTTATAAAACAGACTAATTATAACCACATTAGAAAACATTAAAGGTATAGTTTACACAAAAATGTAATTGTCATTAATTACTTACTCTCATGTCGCTCCAAACCCATAAGACTTTTGAATATATTTTTAACAGATGCCTTGTGTGTGCAAAAAACAAAACAAAATTATGTATCGCCGATACAGGTTGCACCATGAGATGACTGACTCTCACGCCAACACAACACTGATGAATCGTGGTGCTCTGTGAACACGTGTTCAGCATTCACATCGCTTCATAATGTTGAGGTTAAACCATTGGAGAGAAAGTTATCATGAGCATTGTAATGTTTGAAACGGATGTCATAACAAATGTCAGTAGAACGGGATGATTTTAAAACAAGTGGTTCATTAATTAATCCGTACGATTTTAATAGAGTGTTTTCACTACACGTCATCAATCCGGAAGTCGGTCATTTTGGAGGCACTGAACGTAAACAATGCCACTGAACTGAACAGACTTGCATATTTGGCTGATTATTGCTGCTGAAAAATGGTCGTGTTTTGGTCTGTACTAATAGGTCACACCGGGAAAAAAAACATTTCAAGTTCTATAGACTGCCTAAAGTTAAAGAGAAGAGTGCAAAAAATGGATGAAAGAAAGTGTTTGTGATGAAGGTGTTTGTAGTTGAGAGGCAAAGCATCAGCCACATGTGTAAATGAAGCGTTGACTATGGCTAAAATGTTAAAGTAAAGTAGTTAACTATGGCTACATTCACACGGTCAGTCCAAATCTGATGTATCTTTGTATCCGATTGGGATCTGATCTAAAATGATGTCTACACTATGTATCGCAACTGTTCAGATCCGAGTCGTGTGTTCATGCAGCTCTTTGGAAATATGGCAATGACATTGCGTTGATGGAGGGGTTTGCATTTGCAATAGAGATGTTGTCTTATTTAAATTTTACAACATGGAAATGTGTAGCCGCCGTGCTGGACTGGTGTTTTGAGCTGCAGAACTAGAGGAGGCTGGTGTGCACAGCTTTTTTCCGTGCTCGTATCTGCGCCGGTTTCAAATATAAAGCGCTTGTCCGGCACTTTGCAACAACACAGCCTTGTTTCGGCAGCGACTTTTAGCATGTTCCCTATTACAATGTCTGACTTTAAAATTTGCGTGGCGTGAGAAAGTCACATACCACGCGAAATCTGATCAGAGCGTTCGGACTGAAGCAGATTTCCAGATATGTGATTTAATAGGATTGTGGACATATGGATGTAGCTTGAAACGGATTTCATGTGCTTTTTTTGGACTGACAATCTGAACGTAGCCTATGTGGGATAAGAAATAGAAGGATGAATAGCAGTAAGGGCTAGAGAAACTAGCTCGTTCAGATCTTTACCAGATATTAACTTTAGTTCGTCAAAAATCCACGCTCTTTCCTGCTTACTAAGTCTAGCCTATATGATTTTGCAGCTTCCATGTGTTTTTTTCGTAGTTAAGACATCATAAATTAGTGTAACAATGTGTTCAGTAGTACATAAACAGTGCAATCAATGCTGTTGTTTACATCCGAGTATCTCGAATATAGCCGCGCATCCGGGTAACTGGCCAAATCGTGACGTGGGTGCAAACCCTCTATTGATTATTTTTATAATGTCTTACGTTTCTGAAGCTTGAAAGTGGTAGTTGCATAAACTGTGAAATTGAGGGACAGAAACCTCTCAGATTTCATTAAAAATATCTTTCAAAGATGAACGAAAGTCTTACAGGTTTGCAACGACATGAAGGTGAGTGACGAACATTTTTGGTTAACGACATGAAGGTGAGTGACGAACATTTTTGGTTAAATTCTACACATTAAATCAGTTCCCTCAGAGGCACCAACAGATATCTTCCTGATCTCCGATCTTCTGGTTCTTCTGCTCCTTCCACCATCCCAACCCCGGATTATTAAGCCACGACTTAAGTTTTTACTTGAAATGCTTTAGCCTGGTGAGAAAGAAAACAATAACCAAAATGTACATTTAAAAAAACAAAAAAAACAATGGCTGTCCGAAACGTAAAGTATACACTTGAGTTTTTCCTATACATATACGTGCAAGATTTCAGTCACAGATAAATTGTAAATGTTTGCTTGATCAGACATTACATGTTTATGCTGAAATATAATATTGGTTTTTGTTTTAAAATCATCTAGTTCTAGTAATCAGGGTAGTTCACTTTGAAATTAATTTTTGGTATGTTTTAGCCTACCTCAAGTGCATCCAAGATGTAGGTGTCTTTGTTTCCGCAGTAGTTTCAATTTTTATATTTTTAGGTCATTTTTAGTTGCAGGTCTATGGTCACCACCTAATAGAGCATGCACAGAGAAGTCCAAATTAAACATGATTTAATGACTCGTATATGTACACATTGATGGCCTAAGACACGAAACGAGCAGATTGTGAGAAAACGAACAGTATTTATATCATTTTTACCTCTTGTAACCACAGCCACGTCCAAGTGATGTGAAGGCGCAGGCTCTTCGGTCTGCGCAAGCGCCGGAAAGCGCCGAAAGTGATCTCTAATTGTTTACACAGAGATTTCGGAAGTGTTACCTTTCACTGTGAAGATCTATTTAGATATAGAGGAAATCGCAATGGAAGACGATTTCGATATATCAACAGACAACGTTGAATAAGTACCATTTCAATTAGCCGTCTTACCTACAATCTCTGTTCTGTGTAAACAATGAGTGACGTACACGTGCGAGAGAGATCACTTCCGGCACTTTCCCGACACTTTCGCAGACCGAAGAGCCCACGCCCTCAGATCACTTGGACGTGGCTGTGGTTACAGATAAAAACGATATAAATACTGTTCATTTTCTCACACAAACCGCTCGTTTCGTGTCTTTAAGCCATCAATGTGTACTTAATTTACGAGTCATTAAATCATGTTTAATTTGGACTTCTCTGTGCATGCTCTTTGAGGTGGTGACCAGAGACCTGCATTATATGCCTGACCGACAAGAACGGTTTGACCTAAAAAAATCGAAATTGAAAATACTGTGGAAACAAAGACACCTAGGCTACATCTTGGATGCCCTCGAGATAAGCTAAAACATACCAAAAATGTATTTAAAAAATGAACAATCCCTTTAACCACTGACTACTGAGCTAGGGACCTGAGTGATAAGCACCCAGAGTTTAACACCTTGATTAGCTTGTTCAGGTGTGCTGGACTAGGTTAGAGGAAAACTTTGTTCTGAACATGACACATCAGAGATGCAGGATGACTGCTAGATTGATGACTTACAACAGTGGCATCCAGACCAGACCAGGGCCAGTGTTCTGCAGAGTTTCTGGTGATGTTTAGTCAGCTGCTCAGGTCTGATTAATTGGGGTTGGAGCTAACAATACTGAAAAGAGAAAGAAGACAACTGATATTATTAAGTTACATTATAAATAATTGGGGTTGGAGCTAACAATACTGAAAAGAGAAAGACACCAATATTATTACGTTATAAATAATTTGTTCTGTGTGTTCATTACCTGTACAAAGAATACGTCATCAATAAACTGTATTAATAACACTGTTTTGACGATTAGCTAGCTTAATTCCATTCATCCATTGACCAATTGCCAACAAAACCTTTACAAAACTATCAAAATAAATATCTAATCTACACATACAGTAAGATACGATTAAAAGCCCAAACTTACTGCTCAAGTCTAACGTTATAGTTAACCTAACTTACCTATAGTTAGCCTAACAGTTGAGATGCTAACGGACTTTTTCTAAGACACTAACCAAGCAAATATTCAACGGAAGTGAGTCTTTTACATAAAAGAAATTGTCGGAAACATTTTTATGTACTATTTGTGTAATTTTAGGGACTAAACTTACCTGAAAGTAGTGAAAACAACAGCGAGAGATGGAGCTGTGCTGATCGTTGTCAGTTGAGCTACCGCCCGGTTTCCATGGTAACGTTGTCTGCTCCAGTTCAAATGCGGCTCGAATGTTCAGCGCGTGCGCCCATTGATTAAAACACGCAGAGTTACGCAGCATTGAGATGGAGTGAATTATTTGACAATCAGCTGAAACTTGATGCATTATTAAGTGGATAGTAGGCCTGTGGCCATCGTCAAACTATAAAACAATGTTTTAAGTCATGTAGGCTAATAGTCTAATAATATAATATAGCTTTAAAAAATGGTAAACGTGCTGTAGATTGTTTTTTTTTTTTTTTTTTTTTTGCAAAAACATTGATTAAAACCTACATAAGGCATGCACATATTTCCTCATATAGCCTACACAGATTACAGATGAAACATGAGGAACAATTATAAACTATTCTATGTATTTTTTAAATACATTCAAGTCCGCAGGCCAAGCGTTCTGGTTTGGAGGAAAATGCTTAATGTGTAGGCTAATTAAACGCGTTGCATTCATATTCTGGGCTCATCTGATTTTTTGTACACAGCCTTTATTATGATTTTAGGCCTATCATAACGATTAATAAATGCACGCACAATTATCCGTGAACTTGATAAATGTTGCAGATATGTTTTACTATGCACAAAAAATACCTTTCAACTTACCACAACTCAGCATGTCTCAAAGACATGAGACATATCTATAGAGAGCTGGAAATATCTTTAAACAAAACAATTCAAAACGAAAAGAAATAGGTACTCTCTGATTATGTAATCATTTTGTGCATTTCTCTCTCAAGGCGCGTTCGCTGCGGAGATGGAGATCTTCAACTTCATCTTTTGCAGCGGACACAGAAAACAGTTTATTAATAAAAATAAAATGCAATAAAAATCAATGCACGCGTGTCACCGGATTTACAAATGCACATCTTGCTTGTTGCACGCACACATATTATGTCGAAATAACAAGATATTGTGTGGAAATTACATTATTATTAATAGGCTACATAAGAATATTTGATTGAATGTTGAATGTTGTGCTTATTTTAATTTAAATTAAAACCTGAATTGTGATAATTACAATAATTGAATATGATATATTGAGTGGCTAAGTTTTGCTCATTTATTAAAAGTAGCCTTTTTATATAATTGTGAAGCTCCCCTGTCAATGATAGCACCCCTTCAGCACCTGTTAAAAATGATCTGGCGCTGCCCTCAGACGGACCAAACAAAGGAGGCGACATTTTTCAAAGTCTTTTGGGCTAAATTTGGACCAAACCAAACGGACCAAATAGAGACCAGTTTTCAACGTCTATTTTCGGGCTAAATTTTGACCAAATCAGACGGACCAAACAAAGACCAATTTTCAACGTCTATGTTTGGGCTAAATTTGGACCAAATCGGACGGACCAAACAAAGCCCAATTTTCAACGTCTATTTTTGGGCTAAATGAAGGCTATGACGGGCCGACTTGATTAAGCCCAAAAAACAACGTCTTAATGACGTCTGGTGCTGGGTGGGGTAGAACCAGGACTATTAATAATGAAAAAATTAGTAACTTCTTAAGCCTAAATATTTCAAATTCATGCAAGGAATACAAAAGCCCCGACATGGTGTGGGTAGATATAAAGAAAGATAAATAGAGAGAGACAATTACCCCTCAAAAAAGTCGGTAAGAAGTTTTCTCTTCCCGACCTCGAGTGGAGGTTTATTTTTCTCCATTTTTGAAAAGTTAAAATTAGCTTCTAGGGCTTCAACAAAGCGGCGCCATTCAAACAGTCCTGTCAGTCAACGATGTCATGCGCACAGCACTCTTTAGATGTGGGGCGCGGGCGTTTACATTTTAAAGCGACATGGCAACTAGTAAATAATCAATTCACGAAATTTACCGTATCCATTGCATGCATTTACTAAAATAAAAATATCTGAGGGACCCCCCTAATTCCCTAAGGAATTCCCTAAGGTCCCTAATACCTTATGGGGGGTTCCCGGATCCCCCCAGCCCCCCCTCAATTCGAGCACTGCTACTACTACTTAGTTAAATAAACTTGAAGTATACTTTATTTTGGTAAGGGAACCCAGCCGTCCCCCCATCTACTGACACCAGTGATCTACAACAAACTACAGAAATTGAGGTCAGTGTACTCGCATCCATTAACAGCAAACTGGACTTACTGGTCACATTACACAACAAAATTAAAGAACTCCGATCAAGTCTGGAATTTGCATACACACATTGAGAAGCTAGAACAGTCGAACACATCTCTCCAAATGAATGTGGAATCACTCAACAAACAGATGGACACAATCATAAAAGAAAACAAATTAATGAAAGAAACCATTCTGGACATTCAAACAAGAAGCATGCGCGATAATAGGGCTGGGTAATAAATATCGATTTCTCGATATTAATCGATTCTCATTTTTATGAACCGATATCGATTCTTAAATCTCAAGAATCGATTAGTGATCCTGTTTCATTTGAATGAATGGGACATTGTATCGCGGCTGCGCGCATCCAAAAAAAATCACAATAATCTTTGTCCTTTGTTACTATTGATATGAAACAAAGTCTAAATTTTCAAATTACGTCCTTTTTCTTTAGAAATTCAAAAACATAAATAACGTTTTGGCGCTGTGGCGTGAGATCGCTCTGGCGGAGCTCAAGAGAAGCAGCAGCGCTGATCTCTCTTCCGGCTTAATAATACCAGTTACAGCGCGAAATAAACATGAATGAGCATCTGAAAGTGTGTTAAAAGATAGAGTACAACTTATCGAAATCCGCATCATGTCACATTGATTCGCTCAATCAGCGTTTCAACCGTGGAAAGACGTCTTTAACAGCTTGTAATCAATGTCATGTATCGTCATATTTACCTCAGAAAACCCACATAAACTCGTTAGTCAGCTAGAAAAAATAACTCCAGAGAGGAGCATTTTGCTAAATATATACACCATATTATGCATTATAATCTTAATGTTCTTCAATATTTAATGCATATTTGAATAAATATGGCAAGTTTTTGACAGCCACCATTTAAATGTTTATATTTCATATAATCTTCTTATTATAAAAATAAATAAAAGTGTAATTTAAGTGTTTGTATAGCTACAAAACATTTATTATTACCTTCATATTAGGCTAATGTAGCCTATAGGGTACAACTAGACTCCCATAGTTTACAGCATTAGTTAAGAGATTTGATTCCCTTGAGAAAAATTGGCATTTATTGTAACTGATATCCAAAATAATCCATATTGAATTGAATCGAATCGAATCGTAATCAAAATCGAATCGAATTGCAAGCTTGTGAAGCTTGTGATCGAATTGTGAAATTTGTCTCAATACCCAGCCCTACGCGATAACCTGATATTTTCTGGCATCACTAAAAATTCTCCCGAAGATCCCGAAGCAATGATCAGAGACTTCATGCAAACTCAACTCAAACTCCAACCGGACACTGTAAATCAAATAACCTTCCACAGAGTTCACCGTCTCGGAACACGTTCAAATAATCACCTCGACCGATCATCGCTAAACTGGAACATTACAAACACAAAGAACCCATCAAAAGCAAAGGCAAAGAACTGACAAGAACCAACTACGGACTGAATGACCAATTTCCACGCGAAATAAACAATCGGCGCAAAATTCTCTACCCCATCATGAAACAACACAGACAAAACAATAAACGTGCAAATATAATTGTGGACAAACTTTACATAGATGGACATTCCAAAATTACTCCGTCGCTCTTTTAATTTAGTAACTCCTAACATCGAACAATCTGTGACTGTCATATTATAAACTGATATGAGGATTCACCCACTCTCTGTTCCTTAAACGTATCGAATCTTATTTCACCGATCTTTATGCTTTTGTTTATTCTGTCTCACTATGTCACACTGTATTTGTTTATGTTCTCTACACGTTTATATATATGGCCTACAGTCTCCTTAGCTTTTTTTGACATTATAATCATCTCTCTCCAGACATTTAATAAGCATTCATGCAAACACTGTTTACAAACTAATAATAAAATATTATCTGTGTATTACTGTACAATAACACTTGGCTATGTCAGGTCACAAACAGACTGGGGGAGCTTGGTTTGGAAGTGCCTGTTGTGGTTCCCCGGGGGAAAAACTCAATGCAGCCCAGAAGGTTAACGATGGGAGTTGGGTGTCACTGATGGTGGTGGAGGGGAATCGTGTTATTGAATCGAGGTGAGACGTCTGTGTCTGGGGGGTCTGTTGGTTGCGCTCACTGGCAGATTCTAGATCACTGGCAGTTCTAGCAGTTCCAGCCCTCTGACCCAGAGTTTAGAGCAGATGTACAATGAAATTAAATGTATTCGTATTGTCATAGTACCATTGTCACTACTGTTGTAGATTGCTAGAGCCTATATTACTATTGTTGTTATGAATATTATCATTATAAATACTATCTTTGATACTACCACCACTAATACTAATACTAATATATATATATATTGCTTTGTGTTTGTCAAAGTCTCTATCATATCCTCTACGACAATTCAAATACTACACAATTGCATCACAGAAAGGATCTCGTGTACCTACATATACCTATTTGTCGATGACTGTGTGGGGCTGTTTTGTATTTTTCTCTTCTCTGTGCTTCTTTTTTGTTTTTTTGTTTTCTTTTTCTTTTTCCCCTTTCCTCCTTCTGTATTGTAGATGTGTCTCACTGAATTTTACCTGGTATGTGACACTGTTTTGCTAATATGCAATAAAAAAAAAGTAAAAAAAAATAAAAAAGAGTCCATTTGACAACACAATTCATAATGTTGCCGCGGTAAGCGTTCCACTAAAACGATGTTTTGTTTTACAGAAGATCTCCTCCCCAGTTTTTTGACAGATTTTTCTTATTTTTGAACTTTTTTTTAAATAAAGTTTTATTGTTCTTGCCTTTTGGTGTGTGTGTCCATTGTGTTCTTGTCTTTAATGGGTTTACAAATTGTCATCTGTGCTTTGTAATGAGCACTTGCTTTCACACAACTTGAGAACAGTGAGTGGGTCTGATTTCTGATGAAAATGACAAAGGAGCAGCAACCTATTAATTTTTTATGAAGCCCCACTGGCTCCTAGGGACACAGAATTTGAATCTAATTTAGGACGGGTTGAGACCTTTCAGGGGAGACCACCCACGACCTCGTGGGCCCCCAGGGACCAGAGCTAGAGCTTAAAAATCACATTTCATTATTAGCCTAAAAAAACGCCAGTCCACTTTGGACAGTCCTTGAGTCGAGAGTGGCTTGGAAAACCCCCTGCTGATTGCCCAGTCCACTTTGGACAGTCCCCGAGTTGAAAGTGGCATGCCTACTGATTGGACGACCACTCCCAGTCCACTTTGGACAGTCCTCTCAGTTGAAAGTGGCCTCAAAAACAGTATAAAAGAGCCTCACACAGGTCAACCTTTAATTTGCAATAATGGAGAGGAGAGGAGGTGGCAGTTTGGCAATTTGGCAGAGGAGGTGGCAGCGGCTTCTGTCCCCGCCTCTCCGCGAACCTCCTGAGCGCTTTGTAGCACCGCCTCATGGCGCTGAGGGCCTTTTTAAGATCCGCCACCTCCCTGCTCAGCTCCACAATAGCAAAATTGGAGTTCACCGCCTGGTCCTCCTCGCCCCTATCAGCCACCTGAAAGTCCTCCTCCGAGTCTACGTAGTGGGCTTTATGCCCAGCTGCACTACTTCCTGAACTTCAGCCAGCTCCTTGTTTCCTGTCTGCCATTATTGGTCAAATCGATTAATTCAGGTGTGTTTGACCTCAGTAGTCATGGCAACAATAATCAGACACACCTGAATTAATCAATTTGACCAATAATGGCAGACAGGAAACAAGGAGCTGGCTGAAGTTCAGGAAGTAGTGCAGCTGGGCATAAAGCCAGTTGGCACTGTTGAAATGGTACACCAGGATTGTGTCCTCCATTATTGCAAATTAAAGGTTGACCTGTGTGAGGCTCTTTTATACTGTTTTTGAGGCCACTTTCAACTGAGAGGACTGTCCAAAGTGGACTGGGAGTGGTTGTCCAATCAGTAGGCATGCCACTTTCAACTCAGGGACTGTCCAAAGTGGCCTGGAAAACCCCCTGCTGATTGCCCAGTCCACTTTGGACAGTAAGTTAAGTCATTAAGTTTTAAAAATCATAAATGTAATTTGAAGTTAAGTTACTTCAGAAACCAAATTTTCCTGTCAGATATACTCCTCTCAAAACAAATCCTGTCAAAATATTTCATTGTATTGTCATGTCTTTGTTTTAAAAATCATTAATGTAATTTGAATTGTGACAGGATTTGTTGTGAGAGGAGTATTTCTGACAGGAAAATTTAGTTTATGAAGTAATTTAACTTAATATAGTTTATTGTATTTTCATGTCTTCATTATGTTTTAAAAATCATTAATGTAATTTGAAGTTAAGTTACTTCAGAAACCAAATTTTCCTGTCA